TTTTTTTTTTTTTTAAAAATAATATGCACTCAAAATATTTTTTTTTATCTTTTTATTTTTATAAAACATGCTTTGAGGTAGCCTTTTATCATATTTTTCAGTTCAGATTTTACTCCCCAAGTTGGCTGTTGCCCCCCCCCCCCCCCCCAAAAAAAAAAAAAAAAAAAAAAAAAAAAACACTTTGCAGTTATCTGAACTGAAAATCTATTTTTGAAAAATTGATCTTTACATTTTCATATGATGAACCAGAGAATCGAATTTGTTTTGTTTCTTCCATGACTTTTTCTTCAGGTGTTGTTATTCAGTGATTTAGCTTTTGTGAATATTGTATTTTTCAATAGATAACAAGGTCTGTTTTAGCTTCATATGGTGAACTTTAAGATCAAATTTTATTTCGGTCATGGTTGTAGTATTTGCACCACAGTCTTTGTATTGTGTTCATATTTGCACATTCTTATCACATTTTAAGTTGTATAACAAAGCCCTACACTAAGGTCACATGGCTTAACCTAAGTTTGTTTTTTTTTTTTTATCATTCAGTTTAGTATATATATATAAACATGCTAGCTAAAAGCTTTTATAATATATACTGTGAACCCTTCATGCATTTCATAGTGAAATTTTGCTGCCTCGTATTAACCAATTCCTATTTCCTTGTGGCATGGAGTGCAACATACATATTTTATCTCAGGCTATGGAAATCGATAGCAAGCTCTGCTACACATAAATACATTGTATGGGCACCAACATTTATGAACAAATGTTGGAGTCTAAAAATGAAATAGGAATACAACAGTGATGCCTGTATTACATCTGCTAATTTATGCTTAATTTCAGAGTGAGGAAGAAACCATCAATAGCTTAGTAGAACTTGTTAACATTATCAACATTGATGCTCACAAAGCCAAGCATTACTATCACCCTCTGTTTCAAAGGTAAGGAAAATATCTAATATCAACTATTAATATACAAATTAACAAACTGAACATGAGCAATTAATAACTTTTTGAAACTTAATACTATTACATTAAGTGTGCATTATCACTTTTGAGCTGCAAGCAAATTGACATATATATACTCAACATATACTCACTCATAGAATATACCTGGCTCTCTGATTTCTTATATTATTGAGTACTTTATTTTAAAGCAGGCAGTGGTTCAGAAACATAGTTTTAGGCATATATGCATCAGTATAGTGCCATCTAGGGACCATTTAATGAACATTTTGTTAAATAGATCTTGAGAAATGTATCAGCTAATATTAATATTTTGAACTTGTGCATTATTTAGTTTAAAACTTCCAATATTTTTACTTCCCATTTTATTAAAGCATTGTCAAGGTCAATTATTTCCCAAGCAGTTACAAACAAATTGAGAAGCTGGTAAGTAGTAGCATGATTTGACCTATCTAATGGATTGTGTGATAAATGTAGAAAAAGGGGGAGAGGGGAAGGAAGCTTCAGATTTTTATTCTAACAGAGGGCAAACTCTGCAGTGGTGAATCAAGATCATGTGACAGGATCAAAACATATACTAAATTACTTTGGTCTTTTTTATTTTTATTAATTAATTATTTAATTAATTTATTTATTCATTTATTGCACCAAAAAATTATCAGGCAATCTTTTTCTTGTGTTTGCCAATTGCAAACGAATGCATTTATATTCTTCAAGTCCAAGGAATGACTATAACAAGCACCATTGTGTTTTAAAGAAAGTCTCTCAATACTTACGTAATAGTATTAATTGGTGAACAAATTTATGTACTGCCAAACTGATGTTATAAGGACAGTGTTACCAATAAGTAAAAGATCAATGTTGAGTGTCTATGGCAGTGGTGTAGTTGATTGCTGTTGTTCCCCCCAGCTTGCTGATGATGCCGGTGCTATCTTGGAGGAGGAGGTCAGTTAGAGAATGTTTCTGGGGTGAACCATTTTTGCTTTTATGCCAAGAGCATCTGCAGGCATACAGCATAGCATTTCTATATATATACACAGTTTTTTTTTTTTGGGGGGGGGGGGTTGGTCTTGTTGAGAAGGTTTGTGAGTATCATTTTGAAAGTCTGCAGTTGCACCTGTACACCTGAACAGTTTATTCCATCAAACTTTTTATTTATAAATGTATTCATGCATCTTTCCTCTTTATCAATAATAGGAAATTTGATATTCACTGATATATATAAAAAAGAAAGAGTATGTTGATTCATAACTGGAAAGTTAATGAAAAGGAGTGCTGATCACACTATTCAGTATGATAACTGCAAGATGCACAATATCTGTTCGTTTTGTGAACTAAGTAAGGTGAAATAAAAGCAAAAATGGTTTGCAATATAATTCATGAATGACTTTGCTTAGTTATGGGTTTACTCAGTTGTGTTATATATTTGCATGTATTTGCTTTTATTAACAAAGTTTTGCATGTCTTTGCTGCACTTAACATATGAATTCACAAGATTCATTCAATCCACTTTGTACAGTAAATCTC